TGATTAAGCTCAACCAAAAAACAAGGTTCATGACCATGTGGCAAAAAGTCTGGAATTGAAGGAGAATTTATAATAATACCTACCTAATTTTTGCCTACCTGTAGAGTTGACCAGATCACAAAAACGAAGTTTACGTAATTGCTTTACCCAAAGGTTCTACTATGAAGTTCAAGAAAGTCATTTCGAAGAGAGGTGTGATCGTCTTCAGGTTTTGCTATCAAAAGGCCTCGTTCGAGAACTTTATCTCCCACGCCAGTTTTTATCACGATCAAACTATTGGTGAAATTGCGCAGAGAAACGATTCATCCAATAATGAGAAGTCATGCATTTAGACTTTTAGAGTATACCACCAACACATCAACAAGTGAGGTACGTAGTTTTTGGAAGGTATCAGATCAGTATAGATGTAGTTTTCATTAGGTATTAGATTAGTATAGAGGTCAGATAATTTATACGACGCTATAAAAGCAGATGATATTTTATCATTGCTCATGTAAGATGGAAGTAGAGGCAATGGCACCATATCATGAGCATATTTTTATATTAAAACTATCATTGGGCACCATAGATGTGTATACGACGCTATGGAAGTTCAGAGAACTGGAGATTTTTCCCACAAACTACGTACTTAGCCCACTCGACTGTCTTGGTTTTTCCACACAAACTACGTACCTAGCCCACACGAGTCTCGACTGCCAATAGAGACTAAAAAAACAAAAACAAAAGAAAGTTAATTTAATGCCAACATATTTCTTCTTTGTGGGAAATCAAGACAGTCGAGTGAGCTAGGTACGTAGTTTGTGGGAAAAATCAAGACAGTCGAGTGAGCTAGGTACGTAGTTTGTGGGAAAAAATCAAGACAGTCGAGTAAGCTAGGTACGTAGTTTGTGGGAAAAAATCAAGATAGTTGAGTAAGCTAGGTACGTAGTTTGTGTAAAAAAATCAAGACAGTCGAGTGTGCTTTTTTTACTTTCTTTTGTTTTTTGTTTTGTTTTCTATTGGCAAGTGATTATATAGGAACTTGAAATTTTTTTAGTTTCTTCATCGTATATCCCGATCTATTGAATTCAGAGAAAAATGTTTCACAGATTTTTTGTAGATTCTATCAAAAGGAATAATTTTGGTTCTATAACATTTTCAGATATTTTCAGTTGTTTTCGAAATATTTGGAATTATCTGAGGATAAAATTTTCAACACTTTTGTTCCATCTTCCAATCAACAAAAGGAAAAATTATTTCATGGTTCAGTGGAAGTCGATGAGCTTCATCTATCGATAATCTTTGTTTTTCAATATATCTTCATGGTACCCTATGGGTCGTTAAAATTTTTTTTTTCATATTTTTCACTTCATTTCCTGTACTATTGGGTTTACAGAAAAAATTATGGATAATAATTTGTAGGAAATGTTCCAGTGGAAAACTTTGCACTTCTGATAATTTTCGATTTTTCCATTTGTTTTCGATATATATTGAATTGAAAGGATTTCAAATTTTGATGTTTCGATTCACATTTGTTTTTCCATTTTCCGATGAATGCACGAAAAAATGGTGAAATAATAATTTGTTGCGTCATCAAAGAGGCATACGGTGCATTTTTCAAATTTGGATTTAGTCTATTGGTTCAGGAGATATGTCGTTTTAAAGCGAACCGTGTGTTTCGGAAAATCTCCTTGAAAAACCCACTTGGAATTTTCCGACCCTGCTCAATTTCGATAGGCTTCGTCTCTCCCTGATAGAGTTTTTTTCACAGAAAATGTAATCGATCATACCACTTTTACGATTTGTAGAGTGGTCACAAGAAACTTCCGGTGAAAAATCGAAAAAACCCGGAAAAACCATCTTAGAGTTTTCCGATTTCCTCCATATTCTAATGACATGATATTGTTTTGAGTACAATAAGATTACGAAATTGCAAGTCGATATGTCAAAGGGTTCCGGAGATATATCGATTTATGATAACCACAGAGTACAGACAGACAGACAGACCACACACAAAAACCAAAGTTGCTCAAAATTCGATGGGATCATTTTCTCCAAAGTAACTATACCTCTATCTCGCTTAGTTTTCGAGATAGCATTTTTGGCAAGGCCGTAGTATACTCCACTATATAGGTATAGCGTCGTATAACAAGCATTTTGAACCCCTCTGATAGATTCCTATATAATCTCTCCAACAATGATGGTCTTGCAGTTTATTGGCTAGTTGGTAGATGGCACAATGATGCACAAATTAGACAATTCTTAGAGGAAGTAGTACCCCAATTACACAATGTACTCGCCAAAAAGAATTTATATGTTATATTAGTGTCATGAACAAGCAAATATGGTGTACAAAACTCGTTGGAAAGTGCATATCCTGCGCCCCTTTTATATAATTTTTTGTTTAATATGTCACTTTCCACACTATAATTATGTAATATATTATTACTGAATTTCAACCTTCTTATGAATCTTTTTTGTTTCAGGTAGTGAAAATGTTCATTCTCGTGGTGATGATATTCGGCATTTGCTGGTTGCCGTACCACGGTTATTTCATCTACGTGTACTTCGATACGAATGTGATATTCAGCAGATACACGCAACACGTTTATCTCGGCTTCTACTGGTTCGCCATGTCCAATGCCATGGTCAACCCTCTCATCTATTACTGGATGAATGCCAGGCAAGTATCGACCAAGAACACTAATGTCTAGTAAGAATACCATGATGAAGTTCATCTCGAAATCATACATAAATGTAGGAGCCAAATTGTTGAAACTACACCTCAGTCGGCTGTAGCTGAAATCGATACCGGAGTACCACAAGGATCAGTACTAGGACCAATGCTCTATTCATTATATATGAATGAACTGACCTCTATCGATATAAAAGGAAAATTCACTTTATTCGCGGACGATACTACAATACTATGGCGTGCATTAATGCGTCTGATCTTCATAAATCTATTTGTTGAGACATTCAAAAAATCAAAAATAGGAAAGAACACTAATGTATGGAAAAATAACTATGATGACGTTCATCTCGAAATCATGCATAACATGTAGGAGCCAAATTGTTGAAACTACAACTCAGACGGCTGTATAGCTGAAATCGACATAGGAGTACCAGAAGGATCAGTTCTAGAACCAATGCTTTCTCTATTATATATTAATGATCTGACCTCTATCGATATAAAAGGAAGATTCACTTCATTCGCGGACGATACTACAATACTATGACGTGCAAATAATGCGTCTGATCTTCATAATTCTATTTGTTCAGACATTCTTAAAATCATCGAGTGTGATCGTAATCTTTCATCATACAATATATCAAAAACAGATGTAGTATATTTCCGTTGTAGTATCGATGACATACCTTTATATACACAAAATTTCTTGAAGTATCTATAAACAATAAACTGAAATTCGATGACATTGCAACACTCAATAAAAAACTTTCATCAGGATGTTATGCTGTTAGCATAACTTCCAGTGGACTGGGATCTTCTGCAGCAAAAACTGAATATATTGATAGAATCAAACTTGAGATATGTAATACCTTTCTCTTTTTCATGTTCTGGTTCCCACGAAAAGGGATATCCTGTAATGTTCAGATAACATCGTGAGAACCAAGAGAAATAAGGTAGACACTGGTGTTCTTCTTGAAATTCTGGAGGTTATATGCCTCGGGGAACACCAACCTTGGCAATGTGTTCCAGAGCCTCGCTGTTAGTTGGTTGAACGAGTCTTTGGAAAGAGATGTTTTGCAGGTCTCCAAAGTGACCACGAAGGGGTGCGAAGCCTCAACTCGACGGGTTAATCTCGCCAGGACTGCTAAGGGAGGAACAATTGTTGATATTCCAGAAGAGCATCGTCCATGGAAATATCCATAAAATAGAGCCAGATTGCCAACTTTTCAACGGTGTCCCAGAGAAGTGAGTGAGTTTGTGAGCGAGGCATCACCCATGAGACGAATTGCCCTTTTTTGGACAAAATCCAACAGTTTCAGGGTATGTTTGGGTGCTGCACTCCAAATATGGAAACAGTATTCCAGGACAGGTCAGATCTGTGCCTTATAGATCATAAGCAGCTGACTGGGAGTGAAATAGCTCCTGGCCTGAAACAGAAAATCTAGTTTCTGGGATGCACTTTTAGCAATTGATCCCACGTGGTTTCCCCAAGGAAGGTTATTGCTGATAGTAATCCCAAGCATCGAAATGGATGTCTACAAGAAAGCAGAGCGATCGGTCTGTAGTTGCTAGGTAGGGTCTTTTTGCCTTTTTTAGGAACTGGTTGTACTCTTGCAATTCCCCAGTTGGACGGGAATATCCCCAATTCGTTAGATCAGTTGAACAACTCGCAGAGAACAGGTGTTAGTTCGGGAGCACATTTCTTGAAAACAATCGGTGGGATTCCGTCGGAGCTATAAGCTTTGTTGGTGTTGAGACCCAATAAAATCTTCCTTATAGAACGTTGGCGAAAAGTGATGTCGGGCATATGACTGTCAATTGGCGTTATGTTCGGAGGTTGTTTTCCCGATCAATTCAGAGTAAAATTTTCAGCAAATAAATGCGCAAAAATGTTGGCTTTCTCCTGGGCAGTTGTGGCTAGTGTTCCATCTTCCTTGGTTAGAGGAGGAAGCGAGCTGGAAGTGAAGTTTCTTCCTGCAGCTTTTGCGAAGGGCCAAAATAAACGGGATCCATTAGGACATTCAACAAGTTTTGATCTTATTTTGGCATTATGAGTATCCTTTAATGATCGAATTGTCTCATTGCATATGCCTCTAGCCTCGACATATTCTGCTGTAGTCTCATCAGGGCCTGGTTTCTTCTGCTTCCTACTATAATTCTCATTTTGGTCATGATTGTTGAGTTTCAATAAAATTGATATTTTTCGGAATCAACTGATTTCCAGAAGCAATATTCAAAACAATCGAAAAAGTGTCTTGTGAAAATATCTCTCAGCAACCTGTATTCTTACTACTATCATACTACCAACTTACTACTTATACATCGCAATGATCATGATTATTTTGTACTTCGACAGGTTTCGGAAATACTTCAAATCAGTTATATGTGGCTGGAAAACGTGGTTTTCGACTAGGGACAACGAGGACACACATCCCTACGAAGGACATTCCCATTCTTTTTCTAAATCAGGTATGTAACACCAGCACTCCCTATATACCAGTTTTCCGGAAGATTCACCGAAAATTCATCAATATTTAAACACCTTCGTCCGTACCTAATTAAAAAGCGTTGCAATTTTCCACGAGTGAGACTAATTCTTTTGAAGTATTTTTGTCTGTTCAGACGGGCTTCCATCTCACAAAATCCCAAAAGAGTCCTATATTAAATGTAACATTGCAATTTCCTCTCGGATAAAATTAATTATATTTTTCTATACGTACTATACCTAATTGAAGAAAAATATATAATAGGATTGAGAATCTAGAGAGTCCCACGTTCAGATCTTGTTATCCTCGCAGATGGAAGAATATTCAATAATATTTCATTAGGTTTTTTTTTCATCTTTTGAAGCGCACGGAATGGAATCCTTATTAATTTCGAGAACCATCGTGCATACCTTGGGAGGATGGGGAAAGAAGGTAGATATTGGAATTTGAAAGGACCCCGCACCGCAGTAGGGGGAAAATTGGCTTTCGGTGAATTTCCTCGAATTTTGGATATATCGTAGAACTCGTGATGCTGATCAGATGTCACAATTATCAACGCTCTAAATTCAATAGTTTGGATTATACAGTGTGCCGAAGTCGACTTTTTCAAAATTTCGAATGGCCAGCGTGAATTTTCCTTTTTGAATACCAAAATCAAATCGACTACGTTTTGCTTGTCCATGTGGCCGGTGAAAATCCACTATAGACTTCAATGATATCTGCACGTACTCACGATATACAGAGTTGGTTCAAAAATTTCAAATGTTCCAATTATTTTCGAAAAAGTGAGCGGTTGAAATCAATTCATTTTTGGACATTCATAGTATACTAATATCAACATCGATTCATGATAATTGAATTTCTTATATCAGACTACATATTATACACAAGATGTTCAAGTTTCCATGAAACCGGACCCGTCCTGATATCCATATCTATCGAATGATTGGAATCCCGTAAAACTTGGTTAGGAAGTTGATAATTCGTGATGACAATATTTTATGCGAATACCTGAATTATACAAGGTGGTTGTCAAACTAGTAGTGGAGTTTTCTTGGAGTTGACGTACTCAGGATTTCTGTCTTGTTTCTCAATTGCTCTGAAGGACTACATATGTCTGATTCAAAAAATGCAATCATCATGAATCGATATTGATATTAGTATGCTACGAAATGTCCAAAAATGAACCGCTCACTTTTTCGAAAATAATTGGAACATTTGCTATTTTTGGACCAACTCTGTATATCGTGAGTACGTGCAGATTTCATTGAAGTCTATAGTGGATTTTCATCGGCCACATGGATAAACAGAACATAGTCGATTTGATTTTGGTATTCAAAGAGGAAACTTCACAATGGCCATTCGAAATTTTGAAAAAGTCAACTTCAGCACCCTGTATAATCCAAACTATTGAATTTAGAGCTTTGATAATTGGGGCATCTGATCATCATCACGAGTTTTACGATATATCCAAAATTCGAGGAAATTCACCGAAAGCCAATTTCCCCCCTATTTCGGTGCGAGGTCCTTTTGGAGATTATAGCGGGTGATTCTCCAGCGTGTGGCTCACCCCAATAACTTTTTTATTATTGAAGGTAGTGTAACTAAATTTTCCTACGAGCGTGCGGTAAAGTAACTTTTCCGCATGATTTTTTCGTTCTGAAAGTTGTACTTTTTCGTACGATTTTACTTTTCCGCAATATTTTCACTTTTCCGCACGATTTCGAAGGAAATACCAGGAAACATGTGGTGATAACTGTTGGCAATGGAACGTACCCATAGCAACACCCAGGCAACCAGATGACGTTCCAGTCACGTCTTTTTTACGTCACTTGAATGACCAATGTGACGTCAGTAGTTGACGTCGCATTGACGTGATAATGACGTGAATAAGTCACAACCCAATGACGTCATATTACTCACGTCGTATTGACGTCATTCACTCACCAAACTGTGACGTCCAACTGACGTCATAATGACGTCAAAATGACGATTGAATTTGGCGATGATACGTAAAAAAGATTCCTTCAATATGGTGTGATTAACACCACTAGCCTCTGATGACATTATATAATATTGATTATGCATTGTTGAGTCTGCTTGGTGGGTCCCTCCTGTGTCATGTTGATTCAATCGCCTATTCAGCAGCGCCATCGTTCAGTACGCATCTCCATCAGAATGCAATCAGTAACTCGTATTTGTATAAAAAATTATGTAGTTTGTGTCGGCGAAATGTAAGCAAACAGAGAATAGTTTGATAGCAATGGAAAGGATGTTGGCGAATTTGTTTTCACTTTGTTGAATAATGTATATTGATGCATTCATTGTCACCCAACAAAAATCTAAATGGTAAATTATTGAAAAATTTACAAAATGACGCAGCTCACCAAATTGGTACGTCACACCGACGTGATTTTTAGACGTCATAGATACGTCACTGCAACTTCATAAGAGTAACGGTTTCAATAAAGGTATACCTGAACAATCATTTTAATATATACATAGCTTGTTGGTTTTCGAGATATACAGTGTGTCAAAGTTTTCAGAAGAAAGTTTTTCTACTACTTTTCGGGTATATTAATAATCATAATAAAACTTGCATGTTGATTCGCTTTCATGAGTTATACTTCTGTTTCATATGATAATATATAAGTATCCATGATTTAGAGAAGGTCTGGGAAAACTGGACGTCGACAGGACGTCCCTGCAACGTCATGAAACTGACGTCTTCTTTCACCCACCCAACTGACGTCCACTCGACGTCGAAACGATGACGTGATTATCACGTCATAGAAGTAGTGACAGACAATAAATTAGCATTTCAGATCAACAAACTGATCAAGGCATTCCTGTAGTGGGCCAAACACTAACCAATCAAATTCAAATAAGAAACGACGTTCTTCAAGATGTTGCGACATCTGCTATATTACAGCAAGCAACAAACACAAATTACACTTATTACACTTTCAATTTCAATACTCACTATCGTTAATGTTTTAGTTTTTGATATTCAAATGTTCTTCAAATAAGTTTCCTATTATATCGATGGAAAAAAATCTATTTCATTATTTTTCAGTGCATGAAAATATCGTGCGAAAAAGTTACTGTACCGTACTAGTGCTGAAAAGTTATTTTTCCGCACGATTTTTGTATCGTTGAAAATAAGGATATTTAGGACTTAATAAATGATTCATGTAACTATTCTGTCTTATGTGTCATTTTGTAGCATCATTATAAAATATTGTTTATTAAAAACCAGTTTTTTATATAAATAATATGGACAAAAGCACTCGTAGGAAAAACTGTGTACCTAACTCTTGCAGAAAATGTCTCTTTCGCCCGTGACGACTTGCTCGAACTCCGCTCTGCGTCGTTCGTGCAACTGCCGTCGCGTGCGTAAAAGTACTAGTTTCCGCACTTGTTAGGTGAATAACTATATTGGGGTTTGTGAATGATAGTTCAATTGTCATTATTTGACAAATCCGATTGCTTTGCCTTACTTCTGGTTTGACCAGGAATGACCCAAAACTTTCTATTTATAAATGGGACATCCTGTATATTCCATAATCGGTTAGGGATTGTCATAACGAATTCAACGATACCGAGTTTGATTAGGTTATTTCAAAACAATACGAAGATATTTGCTTTCGATGTTTCCTTATGCTCAATGGGTGTGACGGCGCAATATCTAAACTTCTTTCTCTGTCACACCCCTAATAACACACTTATGTCCCATGGATATCCTTAGGACATCCTGTCGGGACATTCAGGACGTCCATTGGACGTCTGTGGGACGCATAAATGTCCCACTCGGGGACCAACTAGGGACGTCCTTGAGGTATGTCCCTGGGGCAACTATCGAATACCTGAATCCTACAGTATTCCTCATCAAGCACTACAGAGGACATCCATAAGAAAACCTATCAGCAACAGCTGAGGGATATCAATTGAATGTCCATAGGATGTCCCAGGGACGTACGAGTTAATCTTGAATTTGAATTTTTCTGGGTCCCACAAGGACCAGATCTTGCATAACTGATAAGGACATCCAGTTGAGTTGATGGTCCGTTGAAGGCCCCCAAAAAGTTACCGAAGGATGTCCAATGGACTTACGTGAAGGACATTGACGAGGAGTACTTATAGCCTACGAGCAATCATTCGTCGGCGAGGTGTAAGTTAACGTCCTCGCAGGGACAACATATTGAAAGCACCGACTGGGACGTCCATAGGACGTTATTTCTAGGACATTGAAAAAATACAGTTCATGTACCAATCGGGACATCCGACGGATATTCCTAAGGGACATTCGAAGGATGTCCCTAAGGGACATATCGATTGTTAAACGATCCTGGAAATATTGAGGGCGTCTATGCAGAGATATTTGAGGAAATGTACGATCAGGGACATTTCATGGTTGTCTAGAAGGGACATTATATAAGATCTGAAGTCATGGCAGAATATGTACTACTCGGGACATCCGATGGATGTATCTAAAGGATCGTTTAAAATCATATCCCATCAGGGATATGCCAAGGACGTCCTTGCATGGACATTCTACAATATGTATACCACGTGGGACGTCTAAGGGATGCTATTTCTAGGACATTTTAAATGATGTACCAGCTGGGACAGTCCGTGGACGTCCTTGCTCGGACATTGCATGGTATGTACGGGATGGGACGCCCCAAGGACACTTATTTTTGGTTCGAGACATTCGGACGTGAATTTTCGTACCAAATAAGGACGTCTCTAGGACGTTGTATGCTATTAGGGACTCATTGAGCTCATGGAAACTTTGAATGCATGATCGTGATCGTTCGAAATAACCCTATCAAGCCCGGTATCGTTGATTTCGTTTAAATAATCTCTAACCGATTATGAGAATCGAAAGTTGGGGTCATTTCCGAACAAACCGGAAGTACGCCAGAGCAAGTAGATATGTCAAAAAGTGTCAATTGCGTTATAATCCACAACCCCCTGAAT